ATTCAAGCAATTTTGGCAGCTTTCAGTGGCAGTTTTGATTTCCTGGATGTCTCTTTGAATCTGGTTCATGCGTTCTAATTCATTCCTATATTTTTCATTTAACATTTCCATCGGTTGCCTATGTTCGTCTATTTTTTTATATGTTAAGAATAACATTTTAGATTATTTATCTGAAGACTTTTTTTCTTGAGCAAGAATCTTAAGTTTTCTTTGGGTTCATAGGAGCATTTCAGTGATGATTGCTCATACTCAACAAGCCTCTGGTTCCCAGGAATTGAGTTGGGTGTGGTATATGGAGGAGTCCAGGGCTGCTACCTTAACAGCAAATGGAGTTGACAGGGTCATGGTGTATGGTCCATCTCAAGTTGGTCCTAGAGAAGGAGATGATGAGGGAAGTGACTTCACCAGTATTAAATCTCCCAAGTGGAATATGAGTTTTCCCTTTTCTTTAGGCTGAGCTTCCATTAGCTGTTGAAGAGTCAGTTGGAATTTAGCCAGTGACGTGACATCCTTCAGTAAGGCATCTGTTTCTCTATTGAAGAGAAAATAGTTAGTGAGAAAAAGGTGTCCGTAAAGCATTTCAAATGGACTGACGCCTAGAATTTGAGGTGTATTTCTTATTTTAATAAGAACTAAAGCTAGTAAGTGAGGCCGCTGTAGCTAGATCTTCTGAGCCATTTTGCAAAGATGTCTCTAGGGTCTCATTAATTTTTTCCACCTTTCCTGATGATTGTGATCTCCATGCACAATGGAGGTGATAAAGAATGCCCAGTGCCTGAAAGATACCCTTTGTAACTGTTGCTTTAAAAGAAGGCCCATTATCACTCTGTAAGCTCTTAGGAAGTCCAAATCTGGGTGTGATTTCTGAGACTAAAACTTTTACTACTCTCTTGTGCCTTTTATGTTCTACAAGGAAAGGCTTCAACCCAGTTTGTGAAGGTATCTACCCAAATAAGAAGTATTAAACTCCTTTATTCTTTGGCATTGGTGAAATAAAGCTGACAGTAAGTCTGGAAACTGTTCTTAAGGGACTGGAATAGCAATTGTAACTCATTGGCTCTTAGACCTCTCCCTCTATTGACGGAGCCTGATACTTGTTGTAAGTCCCTTCAATTTTAGCTATAATTAATCTCTAAAATTTTGATGACTTATGAGAAACAGATAACAATTAATGCATTATTTTTGACCAATGAAAAACTCTCAAGTTATTGTACATAGACAACAATATATATTGTATTTGTAAAACCAGTCTAAGCACCATTTTGATTAGCTGGCACCTTGAATATATATATATTATAGTAATTAGACAGGATAAAATATTTCTTTCCAGGATGGGATCTGGGCTTTTAGGCATAACTAAAGGGAATAGGTGAACACATGATGCTGTGAAGGGACCTGTAGATACAAACCATAACATCCATGGTGATTTCAAGACCTCCTACTAGGGCTCATCTCCTAAAGACCTATAACCACCCAAAAGCACTTCTCTGGGGACCATCTTCAAACACATAGATCTTTGGAGGATATTCAAGTTATAAACTGCAGCAGAATGTTGGAACCAAGATGCAGATTCAGACAGTTTGACTGTATGGACTGTGCTCTTACTCTTTATGACATGCTGCCTAGATATTTTTGACTCATTGTCAACAATTATCAATAATCTCAAAACTGCTGATGATGTGAATATGGATATTTGGTTTATAGCCCTTTTTAATTACAAAACTAATGAATAATTATTACAACAAATTTTATCGGTACCAGAGTGCTGATACAAGTAAAAGTGAAAGTTCCTTCCTGAACCCTCCAGTTTCTGTCTCCAGAGATGACTGATGGCTTGCTAGGTTTCCTTCCAGACTTTGTTTTATTTTGTCATCCGTGTTTATATAAAACTCTTCCCTTTTTTACCCCTTTCCTTATCTTTTTAAATTTTTTTTTTGTTCTTAATTTTGTTGCATTTATATAAAGTGATAACATGTTGCTCTTAAGCAATTGCTTGTTTAGGGTTTTCCCTTTTTCTGGCTGTTAGAAGAAACACTAGAATGCAGATATAGTAAACAAACACCTTTACACACTTGTGCTGATATTTAAGATATTTTGGTAGATTCCTAGAAGTGGAATTGTTCAGATTGTTAGTAGGCTATTAACATTTTTAGTTTGACAATGCCAAGTATTCTTCTAAGGTATTGCATCAATTTGTGCATTCACAAAGAGGATATGAGAAAAATTATAATTATTATGAATGGTTTCTGAGCTATTAATGTTTAAACTTTTATGTAAAATTTAAATGAATTGAATAAGGATGAGAAGTGATGGAAAATTACCAAAATACCATTCTTAAAAATGATTAATCATATCACAGTGTTTTAATCTAAATGTTTTTACTAGAAATGTAGTTAGCTTTAAAGAAAAGATGATTCAGCTTCTGTATGATGCTTTTGAAACATGTCTCTACAGAGATGCTAAATGAAATTATTTTGTTCAATAATATTTGTTATTTTATGTTTGTTAGAATTCTTTCATTTACTCATTTGTTTCACTTCTGAAAAATAACTGTTCTAACACAGAAAATAGCAAGCTTTCAAAGAGTGACAAAAGATCCAGAGGATTCAGTTTAGCTTTTAAAAAACTCAAAGAATAGTCTGGGCATTATTATCTACATTCATTGTTATTTATTGTGTGTGCAGTGGTATAGTATCACAAAAATGTAAGAAAATTGAATGTGCTTTGGGAATTTTTACAAAATTCCCCAAATTTTATTACTTTTAAGGTTATGATTTTAGGAATGATTTGGTAAATAATCTTCACTGTCCTAGAGAAACATTTAGCCTAAGAAACCAGACCATTTCTGTTTTTCTTGTTTGTTTGAGATAGGGTCTTGTTGTAGCCCAGGCTAGCTTCAACTTCACTATGTATCTCAGGCTGGCGTCTAACTTGTGATCCTCCTGCTTTACTGCCTTAGGCTCCTGAGTGCTGAGATTATAGGCACGTACCACCACACCCGGGTTAGACCATTTTTTAGTAATTCTGAGAGAATGTGCATATATATGATTCATGAAGGTCATTCAGTACTTTTATTTCTCCTTCTGAAAACTCATCTTGTTTCACTTTAAAGAGCTTTAAATAATTTAAGAGACCACTGACTTCTTTTTGAGAGTTTCAGTTCTCTGATGATACTGCATGTGATTTGCTAATAGTACCCTAGACACTCTTTTTTTTCCTGTTTCCTTCTGCTTTTAAATGTTTTTGCTAGTGAACTTAGTATGTTATTCGGGGATCTTTCTTCAACATTTAAAAATATGTAAACTCTAGTACAGTACTTATTTTTATTTTTTTGGCTTGTTTCCTTCACATTCAAAATAATTAAACTAGATATACTGCAAAGTTTTTTTTCAACTAATAGATCCTATTTAAGAGGTTTAGGTGTTACAGCCACAAAGGACAGAACAAAGTATAAACTTCACTTCAAAAGCAAATTTTGTTGCCAGTGTGTTTTACATATTTTCTTAGCTGGTTCAGGTGGTGGATATCTAAGTAAGGTGTGGAAGACTTGCCACCAGGACACCAAAAAAATATTAGAATATGTGTGTTTCTCTCTTAAATGAAAAATACTTAAGCCTACTGATATTTAACATATGGGATAATAATAATATACATACATGTAATTTGAAGTTACATAGTCAGACCTTTTTGTGTTAATATGTAGCTTAAATAGTTTGATGACCACTGGATTGAAGTTTCGTGCTCATAAGGTGATGTACATGGCTGTTTTCACTTTTAGGCCAGTTGATGTCATTCTGTTTTCAAGCTATATATGTAATTATGATGTGTGATTGAGCCAATCATCTTGGAAATGCATGCTATCACATATTTTGGTGGCAATCCAAAACGGGCATCAATTGGAGTACAACTACTGTATTAAAATTACATTTTCTTATTGTAACAATAATAGAGGTACATTTCAGACAATTTCAAAGGTAGTATATAGGAACAAGGGACTCCATTATTCGCATTCCTGAAGATGGTAAAAAACAAAATCTCTTGCTTGTAAAAGGTACCTGTTTTATAATTATTTTTTTGCCAATACATTATTTTTTGTTTCTTTATTTTCACTATAAGTTTTCTTAAGAGAGTCATGGACAGTAGATATTGTGAAAGGGAAAGAAACTGCTCAATAGGAAAAAACAACTAGGATGAGGGAATGAAGGAAAGAAAGAAGGAAGGGAAATACATATATATATAAACATACACAAGATAGCTAAGATAATTGTACTACTAATTTCTATTGGTTTATTGAGAGGAAGAGTTAATGTTTAATTGTTTGATCAATCTTGCATGCCTATATCTGGTAATCTGAGCAACTACTTTGAAGATAACAATAAGTAATACAACAACAATTGTTGATTTCCTGTCATCTTGATTAGAAATTCTGTATCATTTTTATAGTTTTTGTGTTGTTTTGTTTTTGTTCTTTTTAAAATAAAAAAAAACTAAGTCAATAATGCTATCTTAATGTATTAGGGATAGCTGTTTAAAAATTAAATTTTTTATGTTGATTTCTACTATGTGGGAAGGAAATAATCTTAAAATATGTCAGAAAAAGTGAAATAGCAAATATTTATAAACTCAAACTATCCAGTTCTCTTTATAAAATGATGTAGTAGTAGAACTTAGTAGCTTTTTATAAGATAAAGGATTTGAAATGACTCCTATTACTACTTACTCCATAGAAGAATCTAATGTGAAAAGTCTAAGTGCTTTTGCTTTTTCTTTCAGTGACACTGGAACAGTGGCTCCAGAGAAGTGTGTGTTTGGGGCAATGCTAAATATTGCTGCACTTTTATGTAAGTAATGAGAGTGGTTATAACAAATGAAGTTAACAGGTAAACTCCTTTGTTCTTTAGACACTGTTGTGTTATTTATTTTCTAGTTGTACTTGAAATTGAGCATGTGTAATCACGAAGTTATTTATTATGGTTATGTTCTTTCTAAAAGAAAAAAAACTTTTTGGACTTGTTAAACGTTTTAGGAATTGGTTTTGGTTTTTTTTTTTATTTTAAAGATAAAAGGAGGGAAACATTAACAGACATACAACATTTTACAACATATCACAAGCACAATACAGACAATACAGAGTTCCAAACAAAGTGGTAGGGAATTAACAATGGTGGTTGTATTACATATTGATATCTTCAAAGTGGCTTCTCATGAAAACAGATATAGACATGCAATACTTATAGCTGTAGGTCTTAGTACTCTTTCTTTTTTTTTTTTTTTTTTTGGTTTTTCTCCGGTACCAGGAACTGAACTCACGACCTTGCGCTTGCCAGGCAGGCACTTTGCCGCTGAGCTAAATCCTCAGCCCCTGGTCTTAGTACTCTTTCAAACAGAAGTTGTAAGTGCAACCAAATATTCCTTGAGGCCTTAAATGGTCTTCATAAGCAGTCAGTAGTGGGGCAAAAACTGTAGATACAACTGACCACAATTAAATTCCATTAGTTTTGAAGTTTAAGAATAGAGATGGAACTATGTTGTGATTTTCGTGTGATGTTCTAATGTTAAAGGAATCTACTGTAGGGTTTTATATTACTGTTTTTTTTTTGTTTTGTTTTGTTTTTTGTTTTTCTCCGGTACCGGGAACTGAACTCACGACCTTGCGCTTGCCAGGCAGATGCTTATATTACTGTTCATTTATTTTTGAACCAAATTTTTATTGATTATTTTTTTCATCAAATGTGATCGTTTTAAATATTCACTTTCATCCATGTGATATTTGCTTACATGAGAAGCAGAAGTCAGGAAAATGATTCAATTTACAGAAATTTGGTTTTTATATAAGCTCTTTAGAAACTTATCTACAGAAGCGTATATCTGTTACATTTTCTATAGTCTTGAGTTCTTTGGCAGTATTTCTGCAGTAAAAAGTTTGATATTCCTTGTCTTGACAAATAAATATGGTAAAGTGGTCTTTTCTTTTTCCTCTTTGTAATTTGACTGCTATATTTAATTGAGCCAAGTTATAGTAATTTGAAATAAAATTATATGAAAGTGAGGCAAGTAAGCTTTTGGAGTTTTTTGCCTATGCTCATTTCATCTGGATTCTAGAATTAGTTACTTTTTACTTTGATACTAATCATAAAATTTTTTTATATGTAACTCTTATTGTAAGAGATTTTCGGAAGATATCAAACTTACCTCTAAAATTATATATTAAATGTTTGTAGATATGAGACTAATGGAACACAAATAATTTGCTCAGGCACATAGAAATACTAGTAAGTTAAGTTAAAGATGCAACCTTAATAATTCCTTAAAATTAACTTTCCTGTGTGTTTATGTGTTCTGTCAGATTAACTTTGAAAGGAAAATCTATGCTTCTGCATGGCAGTGACCTTTGTGAACTTTCTTTGGCAATTTTATTTCCTGGTTATTTATTACTTCGTTGTTTTTCGGATTGTCTTTCCCAGGCCTTGCTACCATTTACGTTCGTTATAAGCAAGTTCATGCCCTGAATCCTGAAGAGAACCTTATCATCAAATTAAACAAGGCTGGCCTTGTACTTGGAATACTGAGTTGTTTAGGAGCTTCTCTTGTGGCAAATTTCCAGGTTTGTGTTTTAGCCCAGCATAAGTATTTTCCTAAAGTACATAAACACACATGATAAAAAGAAAACCTGAAACGTTCAGTTAAGTGCTACTCTTGTTTCTTTACCTTAACAAAACAGCATCTACTACCTTCATGTTATTTTACAATTAGAAAAATTCATATTCAATAATCTGAACAAGTATAAATTATTCTTTTTTAGAGTCTATAGGACAAGTTATTAGACTCTACTACTATTTAGTTGGAGATTATGTCAAGTCCAAACAGAGAACTGATATAAACTAAGTGATACATTTAGAGATTAAACATTCATTGTTTTTTTTTTAATATACCTAACAAGTTACAGTCATTTAATTATTCTATATGCTTGTGTTTTGGATGGTTCTATTGATTGCCTGCATTCCTAGGTGCCCAGCCTTGTACATGAGGATGTAAAGGAGTACTGGTAACATTTCTAGCCTTTTTTCAGGGAATTCTTACTGTTAAACTAGCAATCAACAAATATAGTCATGTAACTGGGGTTGCCTTCTGGGAAATGTATTATTAGGCAGTTTTGTTGTGGAAACATTATAGATTGCACTTCCATAAGCTGGACTATCACATTACCAGGCAATATAATCTTTTTTATTATTCATGTATCTTTATGTTTCATAATAACTACATTCATCCTGGAATTGGTACATATGCATATCACATCTTGATCATTTTTACTTCCCTTCTTTCTTCCTTTCCCCATATAATCTTAACCGAGCCATCACTGTATGCTTGATCTGTTATTGACAGAAAAGTTACTATGTCATGTATGATTCTATTGCGAACTTTTCACATTCCTGTCTATTGATATCCTTTCAGGAGAGTCTGTGTTAGTGACTGCATCCTGAGTATATGCTTTTTTGATGAATCTTTCTGTAAAAAGTTTTAATTTAGACATTTGATAACTTGCTTAGCATGTCATAATTATTTAAATATACAAGCATTCATTATATAAATACACATATGTGAGTATATTGTGTCTCTTATTTAACAGCTTTCATTCTTACTCAGCTTTTGATTGGCCTCTCCTGTTTTTCACATTTTTTTAAATATGGTTAATACCAGAGGTTGAGTATTCTGTAACCAAAATGCTTGGGACCAGAAGTGTTTTAGAGTTTGGAGTGTTTGGGACCTCAAAACATTTCAGATTTTGGAGCTTTCCAGATTTCTGAGCATTTTGGAGTTCTAATTTTTGGATTAGAGATGCTCAACTTGTAGTAGCCTCCATAAGTAGAGTTCAAGAAGATATTAGATAAGGTAATGCTAGCTACTGTAAAAGAGCCCAAATTTCAGTGGCTTATATAGAAGTTTAATTTGTACGTATATGCAGTGAGTGCAGATTTTTTGGTTGACAGCCTTTTTCCCCACAATGATTGAAAGTTCAACTTTTGTCCATCTTTGGTCTCTGTTATGCCATGTAACATTACAGGGTTCTGCATCGAGTTGGTGAAATAGTAAGAGATGCAAAACACATGTGCTTCTTAAAAACTTCAACTTATGCATTTTTAAAACAAGTATCCAGTGATATTTATTAAAGAAGTTAAGAACCATTTAGAAAAGTGAAGGGACCACTTCTATAGGATTTTACAATAGGTGAGAGTAAGAGGGCTCAATTTAGAATACAGAGAAAAATGGGAATTTATAGCCAAGAAGTAGGTGGAGGTTAGTAGGTAGGAAATTACTAAGAGGAAATATCACATATGAGGAAATGCTCTGGGTCACTCCACCTAAAAGAGTTCTTGCTGAAGACAGATCACAGTGATTAGATAGCACCTATGGCGTTGGTGTAGGATGAAGAATCGAATCGGATATTCAGATATTTAAGATGGAGGATTCCAGGTTACTTGATTTAGGCAGAATTATTGTGCTAAAACTGGACAATGCAGAGATCAGTATGGAGCCCTAGAAGTTAGGGGTGATAGAGAAGAAAGTCTGGAGAAACCTGTGGAAAATTTGGTTAAGGAGAGAGTTTTTTTTTGTTATCTGGCTGTGACTGACATCATTCCACTGACTTGCATGTGCTAGGAAAGGGTGGGGAGAGTTTAGCTGGAAAAATGTAGTTTCACTGGACATTTGTTTTCAGGAGCAACTCTTCTATGAAAGGGGAACAAAAATTTTAGTGGACCGCTAGCCAGCTGTGTATGATAGTCCTGTGGCTCCTAATCAGATTTTGTAGCTCAGTGTTAAAAAATACCTTGCGGAATTTTTGTGGTATGAATACTGATGCTGTAGTTGTCCTTTGATCAATTTAACATATTTCTCATCACCTGTATGCTAAGAATAAAAACTCAGTATTTATACAGCCTAGTAAAATTCAATAGCAGTTCTAAAAGCACACGTGAGCTGCCTTTTACTTTTATTTCAATTACTTACTAAGACAGTTCATACACTTTGTAGTTTTACTTTCAGCTTTCATTGTAATTGAACTTTACCACAAGTGTCACTGTGAGTTTATAATTTTGGGTCAGATTTTTTCTCTCTCTCTCTTGGTTTTCTCTGTTCAGCATAACTTTGAACCTACTGAACATCGTTTTCTTGTTTCACTAATGGCTTCCTTGCTAAGCTCTGTTTATCAGCAGACTCTAGCCTTGCATAGCTATCAAGTAACTCCTCTTTCTAATGTAAACTTCTGCTACTTATTTAAAATAAGTGTGCCATGTCCTCCTCTTCTCCCTCCTCCTGCTCCTCGCTCCCTATTCTTTTCACAGACAAACTCTAGTTGATTTATTCAGGAAAAATTGTACACAAACTAGGTCTGAAAATGGTTTACAATGATATATCTTGGCTTGAAATAGAGCCTGGTACTGTTTTAAATAGAGAAAAGACATTCTGGCTTTATCTGTTAAATATTTCTTGAATGCATCTGCTTCTCTCCATTTCTCCTTTCCTGCCTGACGTCTCCCTTTCAACCAGTGCAAACTGCACCCTGGGTCTGGACAGCTGCCATTGCCTCCTCAATGGCTCCTCTGTGATCATTCCTACTTTCTTTGAATCAGTTCTTCATGTTGCAGCCACAGTGATCTTTTGGAAATACGCAAATATCTCACTCTGTTTCTCTAAAATTGCATGAAAAATGAGACTCAAGAGAGGAAAAAATAATTTGATAAATTGCCAAATTATTTAATCAACACAAGGATCTTAATATAAACTGGTTCTTATGTATCTCTCTGGCCTCATTCTGCATTATTCCCATGCTTTTTTTTTTATTTTCTGTTTTTTTCTTTTTTTTTCCAGTACCGGGAATCGAACTCACGACCTCGCACTTGCCAGGCAGGCGCTGTGCCCCTGAGCTAAATCCCCAGCCCCATTATTCTCGTTCTTAATGTCTCCATTCTATATAATCCTGGCCTTTTTTTTGTTCCTTAAACTAAGCAAGCTTATATAACTCTTTTTTCCTATGTTGTTGCGCATACCACAACTCCCTAACCAAAATAAATTCAGGCATCTTAAGACCTCAGTGTTGACCATACTGCCTCAGGGAAGTCTTTCTGTCTGTAACTATTGCAGTATATTTTGAATTTTTGTTTTTCTGTGTTCTCTAAGCCTCTGATACATAGCTCTTATTATATTTCAGTCTAATTTCATATGAGTGGCTTAAAATTTTATTTATCAGCCAAGCATGTAGGTGTAGGGCAGCATCCCAGGACTTGGAAGACTGAGGTAGGAGGACTGATACAAGCTCGAGGCCAGCCTGTGCTACTGAGTTCAAGGCCATATTGAACTGCATAATAAAACCCTGTCTCAAAGAAACAGAAATAAAATTATCTACTCTTTAATTTATATATTTCTTCGTTAATTGTAAGTGCTATGGTTCACTACTGTGTCTCTAGTACCCAGCAGAGCACTTAGCATAAATGTGGTCTTGTTAATTATGTAAGAATTTATTGAGAGATGCTAAAGGACTATATGGGTTGGAAAAAAGTGTTTTGTCTCTGTTGTTTGCCTGTACTTAAAGAAAGGACTAAAAATTGCTATGTTATATGAAAAATAAAAATTAAAAATATAAATTAAATTTCTGTGAAAACACATGTATACTGTATATAGTATTCAGCCAAACAAATACATGGTAAATGTCCTCAGGGCCCACTTTCCTTTCAGGAAATTCATTCTCCAGGAGACCAGGAGATATGTAATCAGAAATATGTATTAGTTTCCTAGGGCTATCATAACAAAATACCACCAACAGGGTAGTTTAAAACAAGAGAAACTTAGTGTCAAAGTTCACAAGCCTGGAAGTCCAAAATCCAGGTGTTGACAGGGCTAGTTCTCCTGCGCATCCTCAAGAGGGAGCATCTTTTCCTAGCTTCTTGTGGTTGAGGTAGTTCTTGGTGTTCTTTGGCAGCGTAACTCTTAATTTATTTTTTGTCATCAAGTGAAATTCTTCCTTCTCAGAAAATTTGTTCTCGAGGAGACTTTGAAAAGGATAAAAATAAGTAAGCAGAAGATTAGTTCCTAAGTTTCATTAACTGCTTTTAGATAAAGATTATAGATCACTTACAAGTAATATATAAGTTCCATATCTAAGATTTGTTCTTGACCACTTCTGTACTTTCTCTTGTTTTTGTCTTGTCTTTTGTATTTGTTTTGTTACAGGGTATGTTTTTAAGTAGAATAAACTTTTGAACACAAGTCGAAGATTTTAACTTGCTAATCAATCAGGGAAACAGAATATATTACAAATCAGTTCAAAATAGTAACAATACCACACGTTGATAGAAAATGTTGAAATGAACTTGGGAATGGATGTAAAATTAGCAAAACTGGCCATAACTCGCAATCTGATAATCAGTTGTATTTCACAGGACACAGTTTGCATTCCTCTAGATAAGGATTTTTAGTAACTATTAATTTTTTAAAATTACTTTTCCTTACCTGAGTGAAAATTTCATTTATTTTTTTATGTTTTCTTTTTTTAAATATAAATTTTCTTTAAATTAACTTCTTTGTTTCTATGTAACTCCTGTTATGTTTGCTTTGTAACATAGCCTAGTCAAAGCCAAGTAAAAGCTCCTTCCTACAGGGCCAGCAAATTGCCAGAGTCTTTAATATTTCTTTGAAAAGGCATTCCTTCAGTAATCTTAAGATGTTCCCCTGTCTCTAAAGTGACAGAACTAAATATAGTAAGCAGAAAAATGGCCATTAAAACCAATCTCATGTACCCCCATTTTAATAATAAAAATAGTAAATAGTCTCCATTCTTTATTTTTTTGCTTTTTAACTCATGGGGTTTTGTTAAACCATTATATATTGACACTGGGGCTAAATCTATATTTATCTTCATCAAAATATAACACACCAAACCCTATAAAAGTAGCTTTTTCCAAAAAAGAAACCAGAAATCTATTACTTTTGTATTAGGAATCTCCTGTAATTAAGAAGATGGAATTAAGAAAATTAAATAGTTTATAATTTAATACAGATTGTAAAAGAAGGAAACCAAGCCCTATGCCATCTTTTGTTGGTGTTATATTAGTCATGAGTAATCTATGTACCTTTTCATCTGAAGGGAATACAAATGACATCAGTTTAGAAAAAGAGCAATTCAGCCAAAAATTTTCATGTAGTATTTTTAACCATAGGGTATATATAATTGTCACTTTTAAGCATAGGGTATATATAATAATACTAAAAATAAAATTAAGTTGATATCTATAAGAATAGTAAGGTAAAGGAGAAAAAAATTATAATATATGGTAATCTGTGTAATATCATCAAAACGAAATCAAACTAGTACAAAGGGGGAATATTTTCATTTCTCAGGCCTTTAAATTTAAATTTAAGTTGGATTTAAACTTTTCCTTGCTAACACTCCCAGCTATCCAGTCCTCTGAACCTTGCACTACTCTTCTTTTATACTTAAAACTATGTAACATATTGTGGAATTTCCTTATTTCTAAAGTTTATTTATTGTTTGTATATCTTCACTAGAATGTAAACTATGAGGGCTGTATTTTTGTCTCTTTTTGTTCACTATGTATCTGAGGACTTTTACAGCAATGCCTGGCATTTAATAAATACACAAAAATATTAAATGAGTAAAAGAATAAATGAATAATTACTATCATACTTTCTATAGTGATATATGAAATTATTTGGTTTTACTGCAATCTTCAGGTTTATGATGTTATGAGAGGCAGTTAGTTCAGGAAATAATTTGCATGTGGAATTTACACAGTTTCTCTACTCAGTGAATGTCCTGTTGGAATCCCTGGATTGAACTTTTTAAATATTGTGTTGCCAGTGTATTCTGAATTACTTTTACTGACTTCTTTTTCTTCTCTTTTTTTCTACCTCTCAGAAAACAGCCCTTTTTGTTGTACATGTCAGTGGTAGTGTGCTCACTTTTGGTATGGGCATATTTTACATGTTTGTTCAGACCATCCTTTCGTACCTAATGCAGCCCAAAATTCACGGCAAACAAGTCTTCTGGATCAGACTACTGCTGCTTGTCTGGTGTGGAGTAAGTGTACTTAGCAGTATCCTTCACTGTAAAGTATGGGTACAGTTGAAAGGAAATTGAGTAACAAAGTTTAAGGGAACACTATTGGCACAATGTAAACACCTTTTTGGTAGAAGAGATTCTTAGGTTAGTAATCCTAAACTGAAGGACTTGAAACATTAAATTCAGATTGAAATTAAATAACTGAGCTAGAAACAAAGATATTGTTTAGCTTGGTCTTGCTCACTCAAAAGAAATGAATGATAAGTTAATGATCTTCCTACATAATTATCAGAAGTTTATGATAGATCTAATATTCTGAGCAGAGAGGGATTGACTCTGAGAACCATTTTGTGGTAATCTTCTGGGCACATTTTTAGTTTGACTGCTAAGTGTGACATTAAATATTTAAGAAAACAGATTTGGACTTTGACAACAAATGTGTGAGTTATCCTTTCGGATAAAACAATAACAAGATAAGTTTTCTTTTGAATTTATTTATTTATTTATTTATTTATTATTTTTTTGGTTTTGGTTTTTCTCCAGTACCGGGAACCAAACTCACGACCTTGCGCTTGCCAGGCAGGCGCTTTGCCGCTGAGCTAAATCCCCAGCCCTTTGAATTTAATTTAAACTTAGATCTTCTCTGAGATTCTTCCTTGACTTACTTTCCTTTTTATAGTGTTGATTTGCTCATCCATTTTGTACAGCGGAGACTTTGGCGCTGATATAGTACAAAAACTTCACTGGAAGCCTGAGGATAAAGTAAGAATTTAGAGTCTCTAAAGACTGTTACCATATTAAGTATGACTATCTTGATGTATTTTCATTTTATTACTAGGAACCCTCTTGATAGAATCATCAATTATTCATTAAGATTTACTTTCTAGTTATGACTCAGTTAGTGTAGAACCATCCACATTTTAAGACATGAAAAGAACTATGATTGCAGAAGAGTTTTCTCAAGAATTGATTCCCCTAATGTGGACATAGTGTACCACTTGAGATTTATAATTATTTAGAATATTTGTTTTCTGAATTGAAAAGATATCTTTGACTTTTGTTATCTGAAAATTTCTGGACTCTGCGTTTGGTTTCCGGTAAGTTCCTGAAACTTACAGTGAGTATTGTTAAACTTAGTGGCCTTTAATAAATTATGTTGCTCTGAGAAAAGTGGTGGTGCCTTGTGGTAGATTGGAAATTCTTCTGATTTTCTTAGTTATATAAATGAGAATTGTACTTGTTCTAGGTGATACTAAGTGCCATTTAGGAGGCATTCCTAATGTCTAGTCTTTAATTCACAAGATATGTTGAATACATTGAATCAGTTTTCAGAAGGCAGACTGGCTAATAAGAATTTAAGATTTGTTACTTGAGAATACTTTAATTATTTGAATGAAATTTCACAAAACCATTCTCCTATTTCATTCAAGGGTTATGTGCTTCATATGGTCACTACTGCGGCAGAATGGTCTATGTCATTTTCCTTCTTTGGCTTTTTCTTGACTTATATTCGTGATTTTCAGGTAAGAAAACATAGATTTGATTTAAGCAATTCAACTTTTTTCAGATGGAGAAATGCAAAATTCCTTGGCAAGTTTCCAGTCTTCTCAAAAATTTACTGTTTTAACATCTGGCACCATAAACAGTGTTAAGAGAAAAGCAGCTTCTCCAGTGAAATTATTTCTGAGTTTGGGAAGGTAGTGTACTATTAGCACGTTTTAGCCTTGAAATTGGAGTTGTAAAACATATTTGAAGGCATTTTTTTCATAGAATTTTCATGTTCTTTATACAGTTGTAGAAGCAATGCTCAACATTGTTTTACTGATTTTTGAGTAGAAACTAAAGAAAAACAGGGAACTTTGTAAATATGGAAGCTTGGTTTTTCCAGGTTACTTGCACTAAGTAAGGCAGTGCAACAGCTATTTTATCTTGGTACTCCTTTAACTGATTTGTATCTCTAATCAAAGAAGATAGTCTATAGAATATATTGAAGAGGTAATTGCTAAGAAGCAAACTTCTCTATATAATTTTTTCTTCTGTTCCAGAAAATTTCTTTACGTGTGGAAGCCAATTTACAAGGATTAACCCTGTATGACACTGCTCCTTGCCCTGTTATTAATGAACGAACACGACTACTTTCCAGAGAATTTTAATGAAGGGATAAAAGGTTTCTTTGACGTTTATAATTCTCAGGGATAGGGGAAAGGGTCACAAAAGCTACATATTACACTCTGAAATTATCAACCAGTTAATGAAGGCTATCTGTGACATTGATGAATACTGATAATCAGGAGACATAAAGCCATTTGATAATTATTTTAAAGGATATCACTTAAAATATTTATGCCTGTTCTTTTTATCCTAGAAAATAAAACCAAAGAACTACAACATTGTAATTTTTTCTACTTTAAGAAAAACAACCTAAAATGTACCAAATAGTCTGTATAGCCCAGCCTTTCACAATTTATAAGTGATTGTAAAACCATGTTTTCATGGGAACACTTTCATGAGAACATTTTCATTTACCCCAAATAATCAGTATTGGTCATCCTTTAGAACTGAGTCTTGATGTTGAAGTGTTACTATCCTAATACATTTCTTACAGCCTTGGAAAACATTTTTTCCTGGAATCTGTGTATGGGAGAACTGAATTCAAGTGAATTCTTTTGTAGCATTAGTTTTGCACAAGTGTTTCTACTATAAGGTCAGGAACAATGCTAACTGAAATATCATAAATGCTTGTGGTAGTTCTATGAAGCCTAGTCTCTGATGTCAGATTTTAATTACCAGTCAAGGAGAACAGTATCTGTAGAAAATTTATTTCCATTATGTTTTATATAAAATGAGGGTTAATATTCGTGAATGAGAAGTTTATGAATAATGGCAGGTATGATTATTATTAAACAGAAACCACTGCAAAGTGCAGTCAAGAGCTGCTCAGATTTTCATTTAGAGGAAATGATTGATTTTTCTAGAATGCACGTTCTGAAGAATGAAATCAGAAATATTAATACATAAACAGCAATCTAAGTTCAAAATAATAGTCATACATACATCAAATGAATTTTCTCTGCTTTTTTGTGGTTAGGCAAGTGATATGTATAGTTTCTACTTTGTCAGATCTGTGTAGATAAAGAATGATGTACATATCTCTGATAAGATTAAAAGGGAAAAAATGTATATCTCCTATATATCCAGTGACAGAGTTTTTGCAAAAGAATGTTTGAAGATTAGCAAGGTTTATATTTTTTTCAAGAGATAATTCCAAGAGCATAAGGAAAAGTGGTAAGAAAAAGTTTAAAATGTAAGAAACAAGGGAAAATGCTTATATGATGGAACTAGCGACTTCAGTTATAAACAAGTTGCTAGTTATAGAAATCAGTAAGAATAATATGTCTGACTAGTAAAATGGAATAAAATACTATTTACCTATATTAAGCAACATAGAACATGGTCACATTTCACTAGACATTCATTGAATGCTGGCATCATTACAAAAAAATTATATACAAATCATGAAAAGTATCATGTTTTTGAAAAGCATGGTACAACCATGTCTGGGAAGTATTGTCAAGTCCTTATTGCTGTACATGAAAGAAGCTAATTCTGATTATGAAGGATCCATAGTAAGGTGAGAGGAAAATTGATAGAATCAAAGCTTGTAAAGCTAAATTATGTGGGGAAAACAACATGTGACTTGCACATTGTTAGAGTATTAGGCATAAAGATATATACCACACATTAAAAGAGTTACTTTGAGACAAAATATATTACTTTGATAGTATTTAAATCCCATTAATTTTAACTTTTCCCATTAGAAGTAACATAAGCTGAACGTATTAACCTTAGGGCTGAAGTAACAAAAAGCAACCATGCTCTCCCCCAAAACACACCTTGCCTCTACTGTCAGATGCCACAGCTTGAATGACTAGATAAAACTTTTTCTATTAATCAACATTTTTGTATTTAATCTTTAAGAGAGGTCATATCCCAATCCTTACTATGAGGAAATTGTGTTAATCCACTTACAATATTTGAAAAGAATAAGATGAATCAAATTAGAACTGCGAGTCAGGTATGGTAGCACACACCTGTGGTCCCAGCACTTGGGAGGCTGAGGCAAGAGGATCGCTGTGAGTTTGAGACTAGCTTAGGCTACATAGTGAGTTCAAGGCCAGCCTAAACTACATAGCCAGACCCTATCTGAAAAAAAGAAAAAAAAAATTACAACTGCAGAGAAGCCCAATTCCCCCTCTGCTGTAGCTCAGATTGATTCAACCTCCCCACTCCTGCCAAAAGAAGGTACATACCCTGTTCTGGAGGGAACTATTATTTATTTTCATACCTATTGTTCTTTTATAGAAAATACCCAGTACACATTAAAAAATCACTGGATAGGAAAAGGAGCAGAAAAAGTTGATCCAGAGATGAAAGTCAGTAGAGGCAAACTTAGATTAACAGATGTTTGAATTGTTGAGGGTTGACAACAATGATAAAAATGCTGAAAGAGCAAAACAAATAGTGAAGGGAAGGAGCCATGTATGAAGAAATACAAGATCTTTAGCAGAGACACAGAAAAATGCAAACAATTCTAGGATATGAGCTAAGATAACATATAAAGGAATAGATCCATAAACTCGAGGACACAACAACTGAAAGTATACAAAGTTAAAAAAGAAAAGGATTGACAATAGTAGAATATCAAAAATAATAAAGTATCTGAAATTTGAAGGCAAAATCAGTCTACATCCCTGTAATTGAGCTACAGAAGCAGATTGAGAGAATGGTACAGAAGAAATGCTCAGATATCTTGAGTATGGATTCCTTTGAAATTTATGGAAATTAGCACAGAGAAAAATCGACAGAGTTCTTTTAAATAATTAAAATTGATAACCACTTAGCAAAGACTGGTATGCCAGGCTGAACGAATCTCCCCAAGTTTATATCCACCTGGAACTACAGAGTGTCACCTATTTTGGAATCAAGTTTTTGGAGATGTAATTAGTAACTTCATACTACGTTAAGGTTGGCCTTAAATCCAATAATCACTGTCCTCATAAAAAGACCATAGAGAAGCAGGTATAGAGAGAAGGCCATGTGAAAATGGAGGCAGAGATTAGAGTGGTGCAGCTGCAAACTAAGGGAAGAGAAGCTAAGAAGAGTTCAAAGAAGGATCTTGTCCTACAGTCTTTAGAGACATCCTTGATTTTGGACCTGTAAACTCTAGAACTGTGAAAGAATAATTTGGGTACATGTGTGGTACTGGGTATGGAACCAAGGGCCTTTGCACTGACCTACTTCCCAGCCCTACTTTTTAAATTTTGAGACAGGATCTTGCTAAATTACCCAGGCTGGTTTCAAACTTACGGTACTCCTGTCTCAGCCTCTGATATGAACCACCACATCCAAGATAAATTTCTATGTTAAGCTACCCAGTTCATGATTACTTGTCATATCAGTTTAGGAAAGTTGTTCGAGTTAAAGAGGGATCACAACCATGCCTGCCTCTGCGTGGTGTGGGGAGAAGCTGGTCATCTGTGTCCTATAGTGCTCACCCCTCGTGCAGTAGGGTCTGGATCCATAGGCCCCTCATTCCTCAATCCTTGTGGTACCACCCAGGAAGGTTTTCCACCTTTTCCTTCAGAGGCAAGACTCACACTCAGCCCACGAGAAGAAACATTTTCCCTCCTTTGAGGGTCCAAAGGTATGAAGGGCTCCCCTTCCACTTCAGGAGTGGAAGCTCTGTGTTCATCACGCTATCCTCCTCTGCACTAAAGAACAGCCAATTGTAAAACAAAGGTAGTTTGTCATTAGAGATAGCAATGGGGCACAGGCCCTTCTCTAGTGTTCTTATGCCCTAAACAGCTTTTCTTAGCCACATCACAGACAGTGTCTGGAGGATTGGGGCCCCTGCTCTCTCTACGTGCTTGTTCCTGTTGTCCCCTGTCTCTGGCAGGCCATTCCCTGAGTTCCCCATTTCTACAGCTTTCCACCCATCCACTCCCTGATCTTTTTCCATTTTCTGACTGCAGCCATGGAGTTATCAAAGGGGCTGTAGTAACAGCTGCTTCAGGAGCTGTAGGAATTAGAGGAGGAAGAGTGGGAACAGGAGCCCTAAGAGGCAGGAGGCTGCTACTTTGAACCAGTTTGAATACCAAGGCAGAGTTAGAAGAGAGGTTGGAAAGGTATATGAGCATTGTGATGTCAGTGAGTGACACTCAGTGTGTATGTATGCAAACCTCTCCTGGCAGGAGAAAATCTACCTGGATCTCCTTTACTCTTGTCCACACTGACCCTGCACTAGCCCAGAAGTGTTACTGGGACATGACTGTGGTGAGTCATGCAGCCTAAAGGTTATCTTTAGTAAAACCACCCACCTACTAATGGAGAAGTACCTGAAGTTGCAGGATAGCTACTGTACTTAATTGTGTGTTTGGTTTGGGAAGGAGTGAAGAGCAGGGTTCTGGGAGCCAACAGTGCTTGCATGACATTTACGAAGTAGATTGCAGGTGGAGATGTGACAGCCAAAAATACCTGGTTGGCACAAAATGTTCTGGATATCCTGATGGAGCAAAGGGAATGAGTACTAAAGAACAGTATCCCTATCACCATGACATTTACACATACCTCCACCTTATTGCTGACCACCATGGGACTGCCCAGGTGCAGGCTCTGTGCCAGAGGAAGTGGGTTTCTGTATATCACTATGTCAGGAATTGTTTATGGAATGTTTGATGATTGGCCAAGATGTCATAAGACTACTTCCAAGTGTTGCTAGGATACCAGAATTATGAACTGCCTAAGAAAGGTAGTATTCATAATACTCAGGCCTTGAGTCCCAGTTCACTTCAGTCAAGAACTGAAGCTTCTTCAGTCAAGAACATCTCAGAAATCCCTAATGTGTCATCTGACCCCAGACATGGAGAGTAAGCTCTTCATAACATCTTGGTTGCAGTTTGGTCAACAAAAGGAGTACCAAGATTGGTTCCAGCACTAGTAGCTGTTCAACCCAAGACCATCAGTTTCTCTCCTGTGATTTTATTTGCTACATCTTTGAGGTAGTACGCCCTTCTAATGCAGTTGTTAGTTCAGATATCTTGCCAGCAGGCCTCATGTGTTGGCTCTTGACAACATGTATGTCAAGTGTTGCTACCTCTAATGACAAACTGGCTTTGAGGATAAAGTGATGAACATAGAGGCACCATCCTGGCCCTGCATCATTCCTTGAAGCCTCATCCAGCCATCATTGCCTCACTGCTTGACTTCATGTGCCACATTATTCCCTGCCCTGATTATCTGTCTACAGGAAGTCTTTAAAGCCCATTACTGTGGGGAGGTACTGCCCCAGGTGGTCACTGAGGAGTCCTGGAAGAGTGTGGAAGTAAATCTGTCTACCTAATATTTTGGAGCCTGTGCCAGATATAAGACGACAGCAGCTTCTCTGCTTCTACACCTCTCTGAGCTGTATCAGAAAGTCCCGAATTGGCTACCACCTGCTGTACTGTCTGAAGCCAGCAAGAGTGCTCAGGGAAGACAAAGCTAGCCTAAGCCACCCATCAAGTTGATCTGCACACCTGCTAATGATGGCAGGAAGGCCTCCCTGTAGGACCTGTGGCTGCTGCGTCACCTCATGTACAGCATAGGCAGGATGAAAACGACTGTGGCTGTATTGACTTGGCACAACTTCAGGAGCTGGTCTGCTGTGTGATGATGGAGAACCTAGTCATGTTTTGAAAAGACTCAGCCTTTAACATACTCATCTAGAGCCTGGAGTGGGAAACCTTTGAGCAGTCTTGTGCCTGGCAGCTCTTCCTAGCCCACAGCATCCTCCTGGAGACCCTAATCCCCATTCTGTGGCACGTCAAATACAAGGAGCACCCAGAGGCCCTGCCCTGCCTGATGCTTCAGGTCCAGAGACAGAAGCCCAATAAGGAAATGGTAAAGGTGATGCTGAGCTGGCCTTGCCGTCTCAGTGACCAGTTCACTGCCATCATCCTGTGGCACTGGCACATGAAGCATGATCAACTGGCAGGGGTGCACATCAAATTCATGCTGATCAATAAACCGCCTCCCTCACAGGAGGCAGAGCCTGAGGAGCCCCAGCGATAAATTGGCCCAGCTGAACCTGGAGCACTTGGAAAACCTGCAGTTCAGTCTGATCAACACCAAACAATATTTTAGCTAGACCTTAAAACTTTAAGTACTGTAGAATACACAGGCAGGCTGTGACAAAGCCCACAAGGTGATGTTTAGTGATCCTCTTTCTCCTGGGGGAGGAATAGGAAGCACTCTTCCACTAAGCCACCCAGGAGCCAGCAAAAGGCAGTTCTGTTCAGCCCTCTTCAGTTGGAAGGATGCCACTCAGCCTCTGCAGGCTGAGGGAAGATAGGCTCCTGCAGTGCTTAGAAGAAAGAAGACACAAAGTCCAAGCC